TATAATATTCCCAAATTATAAAAAATTTCGCAAAAAAGGTAAATGCTTGCGTCTTCATTGATATTTTTACTTATTTTATCCCGAATAGCCGTTCAATTAAGTCTATTCGCAATTGTTTCGCACAAGTTGGTCCATTCAAGGCCACGAAACGAACAAAATATCCCTCATCCTTCAGATGCTCGTACCAAATATGTACCATTTTGGCCTTGTCTTTACAATATTTTCTTTCACTTCTTTTTAACTCGTTAGTTCTTCTCACAATCGTCATACCTTTGTTGCCAATCGAGGTGAGCATCAGTTTGATCCGGGCGGCATTCCAGTCCTTGTGTTTCTTCTTCCGCTATCAAAGGCTAACCGATCCTACTCATTGCCAAAGGTGAGGTTGCCATCCGTTCCAGCAATTTGCCATGCATTCTGCACACAATCACTCCATTTTGCAGTGTTGCCATCGAAAGCACCGGCATTTGTTGGAGTTTACACGACATCTTAACTAAGTACAGCTGTCTTGGCGGCGAAACCAGAAGCGCAAACAGTCTATTCTTTTCTGTCTCAAATCTGTCCCAATCTCGTTGCATTATTCGTACCGATTTTATCCTTAATATCGGTAATCTGATTTCATTGCCAAATGCACAAATTTCTTATTTTATTATAGGTCCTGGTAGACATGCTAGCCGCCAATGATCACTTTTTCTACCAGTTCCTGCAACAGCATAACAAAACAAATGAGCATGCCAAGAAATCGACTCTCGTTAGCTTTGTCCTATTGACTGTCGACAGAATTTCTGTAGCGTAGCTTGCATAATTACATGCACGAATTTGCCCATTAATACCAAAGCCTCAGAAAACACATTAATTGGCGGAGGCCACGCTTGCAGTGTGACTTGAAGGGGGTTCCGGTTCCAGTGTGGATTCCTGCACCTCTTCATGCATCGGTTGAACCCCGCTGGGGTTGCTGATGACATGCTCAGACAGTCCAGGCCTGTGTGTGAAAACGACGTTTTTGATCATATGCAACAACTAATTTCCATGTAGACTTTAAGTGGTAGTGGGTTAGCGGCCTATCAGACCCTTTAGCAACGAATGAAATTGGTATATTCTGTTGATTTGTCAATGAATGTCTGCATTAATATGAGCCAAGAGACCTGCCTGAAGAGCCAGATCGCGAATACAGCCTTTTCTAGGCGGAGTTCAGACCGAGAAGCCATGAGTTTCTGGATATACCAAATCTTGCTAGTCCTCACATTTGGTTCCATTTTTCGAGAGGCAGCAAGATCCTCTCGATTTGTGAGAAGGTGCAAATGTAAGTTGGCATTTTATCCTTTCATCCCAAAAGAGAAGGACGTTTTACCGATATTTTTGTAAAAGGAAGAACGAGAGAAAATAATATCAGACATTGTCACACAAAAGGGGTTTTATGGTAGCAATAGGCTTTTTTATGTATGAAGACCGAGTGAATGGATTTAGCAAAGCTTTCTGTTGACTTATTTTTTTTTATAAGTATGGTTTCGGGACTATTAGTAAATCAGATTTATGAGATTTGTCACTCTATTTCGTCTAAGTTTATGAGATTATAAACTGCGCCATCATTGTTCGAGTCCCGCTGGGGGTGCTGATGAGACCAGCTCAGGCGAGGTCGAATCTGCTATCCACTCCTGTCTGGAAAAGAACTATATAACATTCAAGGAAAACGTAATGTATATGCATATGCTTGAAGGAAAATTTCTCTATTAGTCCTTCATCATCTTGTACGAGCTTGTATGAACGTGTTTTATGTTGACGTGTTTTCGGGTTCAATGCCGTACTCAAAAAGAGGCTTGGTATGAAAGGACCATGCTATATGAAGTGTGAAAACTCATCGAAGCTCGAGGCTATATTAGTGAAGATTGCTACGCTCTAAACGAGTTTTAGAATTGGTCACGAAAAAGCTTTTATGGTACTTTTGTGGAACAAGTTTACAACCTGCTTTCCCTAAAGTTCCAACATTGAATGGCAATAAGGCGAGAGTTAGGAGCTCACTGAGATTAGCTCAGCCAAACTGGGTGAAATAATGTTTCAGGTGCATTGCTTGAAAATGAAAATTGCTAAAAGTAGTGCCGAGGACGAAAATAGAGATTCAGAGAAAAATCTATCGCAAACATT